AACAGACTTGCTGGTGTGTTCTGGTCCACGCTGAGCGGGGTCTAGTTGGAGGAGAGAGGTGGAGGCCGCTTACATCGTGGGGCCTGACTGCAAAATCCAATTATGACCTAATTTTATAAGGTTCTCCTTGTTTATGATCTGATGCCTCTATGAAGACAAGTGTTATATGTAAGGAGATCTATGAAGCACAAATGACTGTTTGGCTGAAGTAAATATTAATTGTTGGGAGATATATCCACCCTTTTGGGATAAATAACCTAGTTAAGATATATTTTTTTTTCCTTTGTTTTTTTTTTGTTTTTTGTTACAAGTTTAGTATTATCACACAAGCTGAACACTTGCTTTGCTGAAAACAATCTGATAATTGATGACACTGCACATTGGTAGAAGAGCAGAGCAAGAGCTAAGAATCTCATGTAAATAACTCCTCCATTATAAACAAAGCCCTTTTTTTATTTATTTTATTTTTTTATTTTTAAATGGCTATTAAAAAAGCAGCTCTGGTCTCAAATGTCTCAACAAAAAGAGATAGGAGGGATCCAAAACAGGATAAGAACCTGGATGGGTACTTCTCTCAGCAAGCCAAAGAAAGGAGAGAATCCTCAAATTTCTCCACATCTGTTTTGGAATCTTCTGTTACAGATATAAATAAAGATGATGGAGAAATTACTATTAAAACCTTAAATTCAAGTCTTCGTGCAGTATTAGAGGAAATAAAGAAGGAAATTTCCTCAAACTCTGCAGCAATACGTGCTGAAATTAGAAGTGAACTAAATAAGTTATCAGACAATTTTTTAGATAATTAAATGTTATAAAAGCGAGTGAGAGGAAGGGGATATAATTAACTACAGATAAATGTTTAAATTGATAAAATGATCTAACTCACATTAGAATACATCATCTCTAATGTTGAAGTAATGAACGCTCACTCCACTTAAGGTTATAGTAATCACTGGATTGACAGTAAAATTTGGAGCAATACAACACTTTATACGATATATCATATTTAATTAATATTATTGTTATGGTTTAGTTTGTTTTTTTTGTTTTTTGTTTTTTTGCCACTTCTCAGTATATGTATATAATATGAGCTTAAAAGTGATTTTGGTCAAGGGCCTCAGCCCCTCTTTCTGTGTTTTAACACAGGTATTCCAAATCTTCCAGCTTTAGGAAGATTGTTGGAACCCATGGCTTGTAGACCATGGGGTTATATTGTGTTAATTGTAGATGGAAGTAAGGTGTTTCGTTTGTCTTGTCTAATGTATTGTTTTTTTTCTTTTTGACATTGTGCTTATGTATATTTTAAAATACACTTACTATTTGAATAGCATACTGGTAAATAAGTTAAGGGCTAGAATACAGGTAATTCTTAGGTACAGTATAATTACTCCTTCTAAAATTTAGATGTTGAGATTCATGTCTATCAATGTACAGGGCTTGAATACAAGGTGGAAGAAACAGATACTATATGAGTCTATGATCTCCCACAATATTCAATATTTTTGCAAGAAACTCACTGGATTAAGTCAGCAACACAAAAATGGGGCGGAGAAAAATATAAATACATTTATCAGGCATCTTTAGATAAAGATAAGAAACGCGGGGGTAGCGATTGTAATTGATTCAAATCTAAAACATGATATAAAATTAATAGATTTGCATCCTAGCGCTAGATTCCTTATAATCATATGTTCTATTGAAGATAAAATATTTACTTTAGTAAATGTGTAGTTACCAAATCTCAATCCAACAACACTTCTGTCCAAAATTCTTTCTAGAATAGAGCACATCGCTATTGGTACCTTAATTTTTATGGGCGATTTTAACGGTGTTCTCGACCCACATATTGATAAAAAATCTTGCAATAACCTGAAGTCTGATGGGCAAGTTTGTAAACAAGCTAAGATACTGACAAACTTAGCTGCTCTCTACGATTTATATGACGCCTGATGAATGTTCCATCCAGACACTGCTGATTTTACACATTTGTCTAAGGTCCACAATTCCTATTCCCGAATTGACCTTTGTTTGGTCAAAGCCACTACTCTTATCCAAATTAAGGACAATACATGGTCTGACCACTCCCTTCATATTCTTCAGTTAGGAACGTCAATACAGAATAGGATGAATTCTTAGAGAATTGATGATTCTCTTTTTAAACTCAAGGTAAATTACGATCTTATAACAGAATTATCTAGATTCTATTCGGATTCCACTTTGTGGGCTGCTTATAAAGTAGTCATTAGAGGATATCTTATTAAAATGGAAAAAAATTCTAAAAAATCGTTTAATAGGGACCTGGTGGACCTAAATATATTATATTTCAATACCTCTAAATTGAATAAAGATCACCCAACGCCCCAACTTAGTGTAAGATTAGCTGAACTCCAAAAACTTATTAATGTAAAATTAGAGGAAAAAATTAAGGTAACTATTAATAAATTAAGATTAAATTCTTATTATCAAGGTAATAGGGTGAATAAGAAATTAACTATGCGGCTAAAAAAAACAAAATATTACTAATAGTCAATAAACTTGTTGAAAAAGAAATAACGTATTCCTCTCCAGAAACTATTGGCCAAACATTTAACGAATTCTATACCAAACTTTATAATCTTGATATTGTTTGAATAAAACAGTACTTAATGAATACAATTATTCCTAAGGTTACTGATTTAGAACTGGACCAAGTTAATTGTGAAATTACATTAGATGAAGTGGAAATACAGATAGATAAATTAGAACTTCTAAAGACACCTGGGCCGGATGGATTTAGCCATGGTTTTTACAAAATTATGAAGAAAGAAATTAGTAAGCCCCTTGTGGCCTTCTTTAATGAAATAGCTCTAATGACTACAATCCCAGACGAACTTTTACAAGCTAATATTCTTCCAATTTAAAAAATGGATAAAGATCCTACCGATGTCAGAAATTATAGACCAATTTCTTTAATAAACACTGATTTAAAAATCTATGCAGCAATTCTAGCAAATAGACTAGGACCGTGTATTGAGAAATTGGTCCATTCAGACCAAGTAGGATTTGTTCAAGGCAGGTCTCCAGATACCTGCACTAGAAGCATTATAGATATTCTTGATCTTATTGAGTGTTGGGGGATCCCCTTTTTGGCCCTGTCACTTGATGCAGAGAAAGCCTTTGACAGGGTCAGTTGGGGATTCCTCGATGAGGTACTAACCTCTTTTGGTTTCACGGGCTGGATACATGATGCCATAATGGCCCTTTATTCTAGACCTCCAGCTAGAACTATAGGTGTTAATATTATGTCTGACTGGTTCAGTTTGAAGAATGGTACACGTCAGGGATGTCCTTTATCCCCCCTTTTGTATATTCTTACAATCGAGCCGCTTGCAATTAATATTAGAAATAACTCAAATATTGAGGGCTTTCCAATAAAAAACCGAAAGGTATAAATATTAGCGTATGCCGATGTTATATTAATTACACTTACGGCCTTGGTAGCTTCACTAAGATTTCTTATGCAAACGATTGATGAATATTCTAAAGTTTATAATTACAAATTAAATGTATCTAAGTCAACTGCTATAACTATGAACATTGATAAAAATAGATTAGATGAACTAAAGGACTGTTTTGACTTTAGATGGTGTTCCACCTATCTCGGCATTACAATTTCTTCTCAGGTTAGTAAAATTATGGAAATAAATGTCCTAAACCTTTTAAAATATACAAATATAAACATGAAAGAGTGGCGGAACTTAGAAATGTCTTGGTCTGGTAGAATAAACATAATCAATTAATATATCATTCCTAAATGGACATACTTATTTAGAATGATACCTTTGGCTGTTCCAGATAGTTGGCTTACAATGATTCAGTCCAGTATTCAAATATATATCTTGCAAGGTAAAAAAACAAGAATTAGTAAGAAGGTGTTATCGAGAAAATACAACAAAGGAGGACTGAACTATCCAGATATTAGAACATGCTACTTTTCAAATATTATCACTCATGTATATAAATTTCAAGTTGAATCTTTTAAAGAGGACGTTTGGTATAAGACTGAGTCAGAGGTTGCGAGTAAGGATAGACTTGAATTTTTCCTATGGCTCAACAGTGGGAAAATAATTTCAAATGACCTTAATCAAAAATCACTGGTTCTTTCACAAATGGTTGGGGCTTGGGAACTCGTAAAGAAGCGCTTGAAAATTTCTAATAGGGTTATTACTACCTCTCATTTGGAGGTCTTGGAAGATAACATGCTGGATATATCACTTCAAAATTGGCCTAGGTCCTGTAGATTCATTAAAGAAATTATGCAGAATGACTTAATAATGTCTTTCCAATAGATACTAGTTAAATTTTCTCTCTCTAATAAAGAACTTTTTACCTATCTTAGGATAAAGAATTTTCTTGGTTCATCACTACTGAAATATTCCTCAGAAAGTTATCCTTTTATTCAGAAGACTTTCAATTATTCAAAAGTTAAAAAAGTTCTTTCAAAATCTACCAAATTGATTTATAGCCTAGATCAAGCTCCATTAAATAAGACAAACAAATGGAAAAAGGAATTAGAGATTGACTTTACTGATAAAATTGGTGTGATACTCTTATAGATATTCGAAAAAATATTCACTGCCTGAACATAATAGAATGTCAATATAAGATAATGTATAGATGGTATATGACCCCAGATAAAATAAGTGAGATGTATTCTGATCAACTACCACACTGTTGGCGATGCGGAAGTTTAGATGGGTCTCTCATTCATATATGGTGGTATTGTAACTTAGTTAAATGCCTCTGGAACTGGTGTTTTGATGTGTTGAATTTTTTGTTTAATATTTCAATTAGAAAGGGCCCAGATATTGCTCTTTTGCATTTAAATTGGAATGTTTCCTCCCTTGTATCTAAATGTCTAGTAATTCACTGCTTTTTAGCAGTTAAAATTACAATTGCAAGACAATGGAAGTCCCATTCATTATTTCAAAGGAGACATTTTAATGATCAATTATTATTCCAGCTGCATATGGAAAAAGATTTGATGGGTTCCTCATCCCATCTTATAGATAAACATCAACATTTTATTAAATGGATTGAGATGTTAGAAAATATATGATTATTGTCTATTGACCCATGATATAATCTAACTCTATAGGTATTAGAACCATGTTTATATCTGGACTACTTGACTGTAATTTAACATATTAGCCGATCTTGTATAGAGTTTCTAATGCTAATAACTCAACTTTTGATGCAATAGTAATGTTTGCCATATCTGGTTACAATTAACAGCACTATCAAATTTATTTAAGCACTATCCTTTCAATGTTTGATTTTATGTTGTCCATTTTTGTCAATAAAAAAAAAATAAAAAAAAATACGAAACTCTTGAATCTGATATATCACGCACAACGCCTCCTGACTGACAGCCTATTACTCTCCATTGACGCGGAAAAGGTGTTTGACAGAGTAGACTGGACTCTACTACTGGCGACCCTGAGGAAAATGGGAATTGGGCCCCAATGGATGTGATGGCTGCAAGCCATCTATTCCGACCCTACCGCGAAACTACAGATCAATGGACAACTCTCTGACCCAGTCCACATCCAAACATCATGAGACAGGGGTGCCCCCTCCTTTTCATTCTCACCTTAGAACCATTCTTAAATGGTATTAGGGACAATTCAGACATAAAGGGCATCAAGATACAATAAACAGAATATAAAATCTCTGCATTTGCCGACGACCTTCTGTTTACTGTAGAGTCCCCCAACACATCGCCAGCACCCCGCCTAGATGAAATTTCACTATAACAAAATCTCAAACTCGGATCCTCAGTATGCACATACATACAATCGACGTTCCCCTTTTACATTGGCTGAAAAAGCCATCACATACTTGGGAGTTCGCCTGTCAGCGGAATTAAAATCCATTTTCAACCTAAATTTTGAGCCACTCTTCCAATCTATCTCTAAGGATCTAACCTCCTGGCACAAACCACACTTTAATTGACTTTGTAAGATAAACATCCTTAAGATGAACACAATCCCAGAAGTACTCTACTTGCTCCAAAACCTGCCCATAGCTATACACAAAACTTTTCACTACCTTCATCTGGGCTCATAAACAACCCAGAATCCTCTATGAAGTCCTGATCAAACACAAGCTTTCTATTGATAAGGATTTTTTTAAATTTTTTTTTTTTTTTTTTTTAATGTAACACTTTTTCAAGCTCATATGTGGCCTAAGATTTGACATTATATGCTTTGCAATTCTCAGTTTGGTTAAGCCTCAACGGTAACCACACCAAACATTTGCATCTTCCTACTTTACATTTGCAGGATAGATTGAGCATATAGTAAGGTGGAATTGACACTGATTTGCCAAATCTTGCCCAACCTTCATGGAATTGATAGATTAATCACTGGGCTAACCTTTCAGCACTCAGTCAATATAATTTGCCCAAACTGGATAGCATTGACAATGACAGAAGTGTTAATGAAGTATTAATGCTGACAAGGAGAGCATAGTGTCTGAGTCAGACCACTCCTAAGTGGATCGCTAAGAGAAGGGTGCATCAGAGCTAATATGTTGGTTAGACTAACCGTTAAAACCAAAAGCGAAAGGAGGTCTCTTAGGTCTTTCAACGGGCTATGGTAATGGAGATTAAAATGATTTGGAACATTCAAATGGTTGTTCCAGGCATCTTCCTGATTGTTACAATACACCTTTCAGATAGTGCATATTAAACTATCTTTGGCAATATTTTTATTCCTTAAATAGTAGCACAAATAAAACTTGTGTAGCAGTTAAAGTTTAAAGTGAACTTAAAGGGACACTGTAGGCACCCAGACCACTTCAGCTCATTGAAGTAGTCTGGGTGCTGTGACCCTTTTGCACTTAGTGCTGCAATGTAAAACAAGCTCTAAGTAAAACTGCCCTCTGTAGCTGTCTAACAGACATCCACAAGAGGGCTTCTGGAATCAAAACGGACTTTTGATCTGTTATCTGACGCTGGACGTCCTCATTGCTTAAAGGGACACTATATTCACCAGAACAACTACAGCTTTTTATGTTCTGGTGAGTAGAATCATTACCTTCAAGCTTTTTGCTGTAAACAGAGAAAATACTTTCAGAGAAAATGCAGTATTTACATTACAGCCTAGTGATAACTTCACTGGCCACTCCACAGATAGCTGTTAGAGATCCTTCCTGGGCCAAGGCTGCCTAAAATGCATCCAAACATTCAGTGTCTCTTCCCTCTGCATGCAGAAACTGAACTTTCCTCATAGAGATTCATTGGTTCAATTCATCTCTATGAGGAGATGCTGATTGGCCAGGGCTGTGTTTGAATTGTGCTGGCTCTGCCTCTGATCTGCATCTTTGTTAGTCTCAGTCAATACTATGGGACAACATTGTGATTGGATCAGGCTACCACTTCTGCTGATGTCAGAAGGCAGTGGGCAGATCTAAAGGAAACATGGACAAAGCATGCAGCTCCAGACTTGAATACAAGTAGGATTTTACTATATTTAGGAGGCATGAGGGGCTCAGGGTGGCTTGATGGTGGTTCTAACCCTATAGTGTCAGGAATACATGTTTGTGTTCCTGACCCTATAGTGCTCCTTTAAAGACCCAGAAGTCCCTTTAGTGTCTGTCTTGTAAACTGCCACTAGAGGAGGAGTTAACCCTAGCAGGTAATTATTGCAGTTTATTAAAAACTGCAATAATTACATGCTCAGGGTTAAGGGTGATGGGACACTGCACCTAGGTCACTTCAATGAGCTGAATTGGTCCGGGTGCCTATAGTGTCCCTTTAATTTACTCCTACACTTTCACTGTGTTGGTTTTTAGACTTACAGGGCTTTTCAAGTAAGAATAGCATAACTGAAAACATAGCTGACATTTTAGAGAATGTTGACAGTTTGCCTATTCTTACATTTTCCCTTGAATATCTTAATTTAAAATTCTTACTTTCGTGGCAACTCTGGATGTGCACTAAACAAGCATGTAATTCCTTTAGTTGTATGTTCTCTTGGAAGCAAATCTTTGGAGTCTCCCGTAAATGAGATCCACTGTTGATGTTTCTTATTATTCAGCAGTTTACCTTTTTTTCTGGCTTTGCCTGGACTGACCATATATTTTTTTATGGGTGTCCTTTTAATCTAAGTTTTATAAAGGAAAAAAAAAAAAAAAAAACAAACAGTCCTGACTCACTAGATGGCAGTAAAATACTGCATTGCAATGTCTTAAAGGAGAAATACAAAGGACAGAATTACTTTTAAACATAACCAGTTAGTGACACTATTTCCCTTTGTACACGAGCAATCTACAGAGACTGTGGATAATCTGTAGGTAATTAATAGTAATTAAGTGACACAGCCAAAACTTGGGAGCCAGATAAATCAAACTAATATATAATTTTTTTCCCATACATACACCACACACAAACACATCTTTAGGGGTTTGTTATCACTAGTGCTGGTACAAGTCTACTGAAATACAAAAATTTAACTGTTGGCTCTGCAGTAGTGATATGAGAACTCCATTGCTTGACAGTCACAAGTAGCCTTCTCACAGTAAATTGAAGATTATGATAGCTTTAGTGTACAGATAATCTTAATTTTAATAATGACAGGAGGCGAGTATTTTGCATAATCTTTCTTTACTAACTCCATAGCAGCAAAGAAAAGAGTGACAAAACTGAGAACCAATCACAATGCAGTATAGAGTATAAGAGGTGTAACATATGACATCATTTCCTCTAAAAGCATGCGACATCACAAGAACATGAGGTAGAAGAAATAACAAAGGTAACTCGAAAGGTCCATGGTAAAACAATGTCAGAACGTGTAAACTGAACGTAAACAGGTAGACTCCAGTGGAAATTTCTTGATGTCAATTGGTGATCTCCCATGACAGGATGATGATGACACCTTGAATGGAGCCTTTAGTTCCTTGAGGTATCTGGTTAAACTGAAACGAGAATATGAAAGGGATTAGATTCCAAAAATGGTTGTGTAAAAGCAATGAGATGTCTTTCCCTTATGCTAAATTTAAAATTACCCTTATAAAAACAGAGCGAATACATTCCTCCCGTCTATCGGTGCTACCTAAAACATCCCACCCATCTGGCATATCTGTATCAAATGTATGAGAAAAACCACAATTTAGGCATCAGTACAATAATAGCCAAAAGTAGGAAATATGCGTGAAAACAGAGGGAGGGAAGTAGCGAAAGCGAACAGGGAGGGAAAATAGTTGCCTCCTGTCATTATTAAAATTAAGATTATCTGTACACTAAAGCTATCATAATCTTAAATTTTATCACATGACAGGAGGCTTCGTATTTTGCAATTTTAATGCTGGGAGAGCAGAGAAAAAGCTGGATTGTCAAGAGGACGGAAGAAGAACGTCCTAAAGGTGGATTCTCTGGTCCAGTCCGCCGCTCGTAAGATGTCCGAAAGGGAAGCGCCTGCTGCGTATGCGGAAGAGTCCGCTGCCCCGCGTACGGAATGTGCTCCAAAAGTTTGGTCAATACCGGCAAGGGATATTAGCCATCTAACCCATCTGGCCAGTGTAGTAACCGAAACTGGACCGTAGGGGCGGACGTAGGAGATGAGAAGTTGACGTGTAGAATGTTGCCGCAACGTCGCGGTGGCTTCCACATATTGACGGAGAGTAGAGACCACACAGAGCTGAGGGTCCAAAGGGAAGAAAGGGTAGAAGACCGAGTGAGAGTTGGACTTAGTGCGTCGTGAGATTTGAAAGGTAACTCCCGCTGGGCAGAAGGTAAAAGCATCGGCGTCGAAAGCGCGTACGTCGGATACCTGTCGGAAGGAGACTAGACAGAGCAGGAAGGTGAATTTTGCGGTAAGTTGGTGGAGTGACAGGTCCTTGTTAGGAGGCCAATTTTGTAAGAATTGTAGCACCACGCCAACGTCCCAAAGTCTAGAGTATTTGGGCTCCGGAGGGCGCCTAAGGCGCATGCCACGGAGGAATCTGCAGATGAGTGGATCCTGACCAACCGGAGACCCTTGGGACGGAGTATGGGCCACTGAGATGGCTGATCGTACCACGTTGATGGACCGGTATGACTTCCCGGCCATGAACAGAGAGGTCAGGAAATTCACGATGGAATGAGTAGGTGCAGTAAAGGAATTGAGGTCCCGTCCCATACACCAACTGGTCCAGGAGTGCCATGCTGATAAATAGCATCTCCTTGTTCCTGGTGCCCATGAATCCGAAAGGAGGTCCCTAGCTTCTTGCGATAGGTCCTCAGTTCGCCAGGAACCCTGGAATGCATC